GAATTGGCATCCCAGACCTCTTGATCACATGGTTTACATCCTTAGCGAAGGATTCGGAGAGGTACGGTAGTATCAGGGGGTGCCTCCCAGTGCTTGAAATGGGCGCCAACAATTCACACGTCTGCATCCGTATCCGTTCTCGAAAAGAATACGTGTCACCTTATTCATAACTTCGGGAGCATTTGTCGACGTCACTCTGCGAACTGTTGCCAAGGTATTCTGAACTACATTCATTGTTGACGGATGGTAAATGAAGAGTATCGACTGCTTAAACTCTTTACCATGATCACCCTCTATCTGGCTGCTCTATTTTTTCCGAGTGAGTAGCAGGAGAGGTTGGTCCCCATTCACGTTTTCCTCCACATCTTTATCCCACCATTCTTGCAGCGATTTACGAACTCAGCGGAATCAATCCGCTCCCCTCAACCCGGAATTTCCCTTTTTGTAATTGGTTAGTCAGCTTCGTATATCATGTTGTATTGATTCACTCTTTTATGTTAGAACGTAATGTATGGATGATGTTATAGACCTGAAGAAGGGCTTACGGCCCGAAACGTCGTCAAATAAAGCCTTTTGAAAGAGTTTCATTTCAATCAACAACAAAGAACAATCAGTGTTGTGTCAATCGGTTATCACAGATTCTAAAAGTTCTGTCAGTTTTTCAATCGGCCATAACACTTTCGGAATTAGATGCGGCAAGGCAGCGGTGAACCGTCGAGTTCCGGTGAGGCCGATAACTAAGTCTTAAAAAAGAAGGATAGGTGTTGGACAGTCCACTGGAGAACCATCAAGCAGAAGGTGTGACTAAGTATTCGAATGGTGCATCACTGGTTGCTTTATTTTTTTTCGGAACAGAGTTTGGGTCAATTGTAATTTGGCTACTTTTACTCTACTTAACTTTCACTTTGCAAACCTACAATTCAGCGAGTTTATAATGATTATAAAAGGATCACACTGTTTTGTACGGCGTATATCTTTCATCGAACGAGGATATATTATAGGATCATGTAAAAACATGGAATCTCAAAGGAAAAATTTCTATCCGAAAAAAAAACAACACTCTATATTGGGCAATCTAGATAAGGTCGGATGAGGACATTTTCAGTAAGTAGGCAGACGAGTCCTTTGTGGGTGCGTGACGATGCGCGTTCTGCAGCCAAGCGTATGCCCTTACGGCCTAGCAGGACCGTTCCTCCGCCTCTACACGCAAGTGACCTTCGCCGTCTGGTCTTAGTCTTTTAGCAGAGAGAGCGTTAGCGTCGGGGAGAGCGCATCAATACGCAAATTGACGGGCAGACAATGAGTTTAATCCCATGGTTCCTTCTTCATCTCTACAGCGCTGACCAGCTTACCTTGATTTCTAATGAGCTGCTTTTTCATCGCAAACTCCGCCATTGAAGTGAAAAAGAAAATATAGATTGAGCTGATCGGTTTTTGTCAAGACAATTTTGGATCAGCGTTGATTAGTTGGGGAATGGTCTCCATGACCCTCCAATCTTGAACTTGTAAATTTCCTTCATTTCTAGATGTTTGGAAACAGGAAATAATCAAAAGCTTTAGTAACATTTTATCTAAATGTAACGGTAATTCAGTTTTACCTTCTACGAAGGTGCTGCTCGCCTTTAGGCTCGCTTCCATTAACAACTTTTCCGTTATCGCTCCCGTTGTCTTCGCCTTCTTCTCCTTCTTCGGATCCGCCGTAGTCGTCTCCGTCGTAGTCGTCGTCGTCATCTTCGTCGTCATCTTCGTCGTCATCTTCGTCGCTCATATTCGACATTGTCTTCGTCCGGGTCTTCTCTCCTCAGAAAAGTTTTTGTGTATATATGTTATCACAGGAACCACACTTGAATTCGATATTAGTGTCCTATTGATGAATCTCATCGAGCAGAACCTACAAAATATCTGAATAAATATCTTGTTAATTTGTTTGTTGTTTCTTTTGTACCTGTAACCAGTGAGTCGCTGATCCTTATGTGTCTTGATTTCAACACCAGCGTTTCTGCAACCTTTGTAATATAATGCAGTAGGTACCTCCACAATCTCAACCTCTATCTGTGCGCTTCTGGTGCCTTTAAATGCATTTTAATAATTTTTTTAGAGATAGACATGTCGTTCTAGGAAGTGACTGACCATGATCCAGAAGTTACATCTAATGTAACCGTCGGGCCCGACCATGGTACTGTTGAGAGGATCTTCGAGCGTTTTCCAAATTTTGGATGCATTCAATACTGCGCCGCAACCTGGCGGCTATATAAATTGTTTCAAGAATATGCAGCTCCACAGCTTCAACAGCTATGTTACCCTTTCATCGCAGAACTGTCCACCATATCCGCTGGGACAAATGCATTCGGAGCAGTTGCGTGGATGAGCAAATCCACCATTCCTGCACTTCTTGTCCGCGTTGGCTCATGTTTGCATGAGTCTGAAGTGCGCTCTGTATCTATAAGCAACCGGGACATAAATATATGTAAACGAATGTATCGCGCACCAGTGCAATTGTAGTACATGTTCATCATAAGCAGGTCGTAAAATGAAATGAATTGAGATCCCAGAGTCTCTGTATACATAATATCTTTCGGTATAATAGTGAACTTTTCTTCATTTTCGGCTGTGTTGTTGACAAACCTGTGAATTATTGTCTGATTGATTTTGTCTAATAACAGAGCTAGTGTTTCTCAGAAGATTATAAGTTCAGGAACATAGGCTGTATACCGTAACCCTCTCGACGTTGGGGTGTTGGCAGTGGGGCGCGCAATGTCACGTGTCATCGATTTTCCATGTGTGCTCGCCTCCCACTTCTCGTTTTCTCTGCGCTCTCTCAACGAGGAGAGAATGCGTCGAGCAAACTCACCAACCATACTAAGCGCCGTTATGGAGAAGTAGCGGATGGCACGGGCTCATGCCGGTGGGCCGGCACCGTCGTTGAATGTGTGCGCTTTCAAACCAGTACTGCCCTTGTGCGTAAAAGCCTGCGAGTGCGCTCTGGCGCAAACGTGGATTACGGTACACATCCTTACGTTCCTTAACTTATAATCTTGTGTGTTTCTCCACAAGAACTTTACTCTGTCATTCCGTAGTGCATCAAGCTGCCGTAGTCATATGGTAAATCATAGTTGTTATTGGTTTCGGTCGTCTCTGCTACGAATTGGTCGCGCCGTCCAAGCTAAATCCGGCCACACTATTTTTTTGTTTTATAGTATTCGCAAGGCATACCTGAATATTTTCGTCAAGAACTGTGATAAATTGATCACGGTCGTGTCTAGAGTGCGTGTGCCAGAAGCCAAGTGCATGGGCAAGCTCGTGCGCTGCGATTCCGATCTGCCGAAAAGCAATAAAACTGATAGGAGTTCTTCGATTGGTAGTGACTTTAAGAAAATGAGAAAATCATCGCTGTTTTTGGTTTTATATGCCCTTTCCCCTTCGAGAAGCGCCATTGTCTCACGCTGAATGTTTTTTAGCTGATACCAAGTCACAGCCTGAGCCGAGTGAGATCAACTGCAATCCGACCTGTCTGCCAACTTCTGCCCAACATCCATGTTCCTTGTACACAAGAAGAAGGTCCTCAGCTGGAACACTTTCATGCAACAAAACCTTACCCCCACTCGACCTGGTTCCGTCTTACCTGTTTCTTCTTTATCCTCTTCGAAGTTGATACACGTGTTATTCGTCCATAATTCAACTGCCTTTCGGAAGACCTTTATGGCCTCTTCTCCTGAACAAGGTGAAAAGGTTTTTCATTCCTCGTGAACAAGGAATGGCGATGATGACAAACCTAAGTTACCGTCCAATGAGTAGGTAACATTTTTTGGCCATCGTTTCTCGGGATAGGTTAGACTGTTGTGAGCTTGCCGCTTGAAACGGTTTAGGCTATTATCCGAAATAAATTGGTTCTGTTGATCTCTAAAAAATGAGAAAAATTCGCGTGTAAATATGGGTGAAATTTTGCATAAAATTAGAATGTAAAGGAAGCGAACATTGAAAGAAGCATGTCTCCTTGGAACAGTGAGTCTATTATTCCACTTCTTGCGTTTATTTGCTCAATTGAGTCTGGTCTTCGTCGCGTTTTGCCATTCAATCTCCTTCCGAATGACTGAAAATTTGAGGCTGCTCTTATCCGCTACTTAAATTTGGCTGAAATTTGCTAACCTTATGTTCTTCTAGAAAACTTTTTTTGTTCTTCACTCAAAACTGGTGCCGTACGTAACGTTTTTTTGTTTAACTTTTCTCGAAGTAGAGGTATGTTGTCAACAACCTGTGGAGAAATATAGCAATTAATGAATTCGTCATCCAATACTCACTCGAAGCTTATACCTGTTTAATGCGGCTCGCAAGCTCAACTTTCCTACTGGATATTTTTCCTTTCATGTGAACTTTGAGGCTTCCAACGATATCAGACTTTTCAGATTCGAAAAAGTTGCAGCTCACAGATGCAGTCACAAGTAGAACCAGAAGACCTGGCCTCATCTTGTAGCGAAAATTCGGGGATTTCGAAGATAGTAGCAGATGAGTGATAGAATATGGTGTGACTGCTTGTCCTTGCCTCTTGTGTTTATATGACACATCCGGACTTTGACGTTGACTTAGGAAAGTGTTTTCCATGTTTTTCTTCTGCTTTGCATATCGGAGGAGGAGACATCCCGCATAAAAACTGCCATGTCGGTTTGTACATTTGCAGGCTACTAAAATAGAACATTACTCAAATACCCCATTATTTGTCGAACATTGATGTGTGATAGCATCGACTAGAGGCCCGCTCGGTTTTGCTTTTGTCTCTAGAAGTGTTGCAGACAAAAGCAAAGCAACAAACTTGCAAAGGAACCGATCCTACGAGCTTTTACCTGCCACCCCGGACCATCACCACTGAGCTATTACGCTTCATAACTCCGTTCGGAGAGCCGTTTAGAGCAGATTTGGACTTGCAGATTTGCGTCCAAAGGCGCATCAGGTGGCATACATCTCATTTTATACGGCCACTCCGACCTACCATCCTTTCCTTGGCTAGTATCTATATGCAGTGGAGAAGAGCAACCATAGATCCTCTACGTCTTAAAGTATGAGTAACGCCGGCAGCACTTATTTCCATACGCTCACCGCCGCTGTGACGTCACCAACACGCGGACACGTCCGCCTAGCCGGTGAGCTCTTCCATGCAGCCTATGATTAATGCGTCCTTAATCCATTCACGACGGAGCACTTTTCAACTTTTCGGCCACTTGGGGCGAACGCGATTCTGTAAGCGCCGACACCTTACCTCACATTCGTGGATTTTGTATTGTGAATGCACAAAAAGCGGGAAAATTTCACAAAATAACAACAGCATACTCATTGCGTAAAGGTATCTAATCATATAATAGTGGGATTTCAACCAGAACGACTAGTGGCGGTGATGGAAAGATAATATTTTTTTCTTTTTCCTGCACTGGAAGTTTCTAACTGGGTTGCTTCGATAACCCACCTACCTTTGCATTCATATCGCTTTGCCGTACTCTAGCACTCTACTCATTCACAAGTTTATGGCAACAGAAAGAAACAGATAAATTAATCAAAAGAAACATTTCGTACGGCTCAGAAAGTCTTTCCCAAAACAAAGCATATGTAACCTGCCGTTGAATCATGTCGTTCATGGTTACGTGATAGACCC